CCCCAAAACCCCAAAACCCCAAAACCCCAAAACCCCAAAACCCCTAAATCCTTCATCGAAATTGAAACTATTTGCCGTAGAGTTGAAGGGTTCATTCCCTCAAACCTCAGAACAGTTTCCTATTCTTCTGTCAGGAATTTTTACTCACTCGGATCTGGATCTGTTTGTTCTTCATCGGCATAAAATTTGCTCTTTTAATTATAGTCTTGAGGCTTCCTACAGAATGTATTTTTGTTGAAAATTTCATTGAAGAGCTCATCATGTTACTATATTTTGTCAATGCCATGTGATCCCTATTCCCATCAGAAACTTCCAGCAGCTGATGTCGGGAGTTAATCACAGTCAACGGCTTGGATCGGTACATCTGTTTACCTTTATTTGTAGAGCAATTTATTGGTGTATCTACAAAGTGAGATAAAATTTACCCAAAGATGTACTCCTTTTCACTGTTGGGATATTATTTACAGACCTGTAACTGCTAGGAATGTCTAGTTTTCCTCTTTAGTTTGTAAAATGAAACAGTTGTGCTTAAACTCTTTCTCTTCTTGTTAATTGGTTTATAACGATAGGCGAGAGTAGAAGAGCTTGTCTGAGATAAAAAATTTGCTCCATCGTGAGAAATACTACTAGTGCCTGACTTGGCTAAGGTGAGGTTTGGTAATCTTGTTAAGTTTTTATTAGTTTCATCGCTTCTCATTTTGATATCAAATTTTCTCTCTGAAAAATTATGATAATTTAAATCTTGATTATTAAGAACCCTTCAGTTTAATAAAAAAGCAACTCTGTAATAAAATTCTCTAAAATGTAATAATTTCCTCGCTTCAGTTAAAAAGTACTAGAAAATTACATTAAAAACCTTAAATACAATTATTTATCTCCACCAAAACTTTGACCAAAACATAAAAATCCCAAACTGCCTTAATACTCACTGAAAGGTTTTCACCTCCAGTCAGAAGCCCGTAACCCAGCTTCTCTAAACTCCTCCATTTTCCTAATTTTTCTTAACTATCAATATTTTTTAATTGAAACGGGGTTTTGGGGTTTTGGGGTTTTGGGGTTTTGGGG